CTGTACAGGGCAAAGAAAGATGGTCCTGTAGTAATGGTAAGAATCTATTTACTCAATGTAAAGTTTTGATTTTATTTCATTTCTACTTCTTCGATGGTGGCTAAATGTGATCTTGCTATTGGTAACTGCTAGGGATGGAGACACCCGTGGGATGGGCATGGTGATCACGGTCACGGTGATCATCACTAGGTAATGTACGTATTACCACTGTTGATCGAATCATCACAATTCGGTTATCAAAGTTCTTAAACACAATTCGGTTGTCAAAGTTCTTATTTTACGCACGTTATTAGTGGTGGTACAGTACTACTAAATAATTAAGTAGCAGATTCCTCAGTGAAAAGTTGATTAGGAACACTAAGCTGTCAGTTGCTAGCAAGATCTCGTTAACGTGGTGAGTGGTTAGTTTTGAAGAAAGATTGTAGCTCTAGGCCGATATTAGTTCATACAAACGGTGAAGTTTAGAGGATCTTCAACTTCTCTAATTGCTGTTCTAGATTTGCATGCTTTAACAATTGAGTGCCATTATCTTGAATGGTCGTGCTATATTATCCTCGAATTCATCTTTCATGCAACCTTATAAGCATTAGTCAAATTACTTGAGACTTATCTGGTTTTGGGTTTTGCTGCTAGGTCTCATTGAACCTTTGAAGATCATGACGAAAAAAATGGATCGTCTCTTTTTATATTTTCAGCTTCATATGTCGAAATAAAGAGTACTTTGAAGATGACTTGTATTGTTTTTGTACACAACTTGGTAAGACTTGCTGCTTCTGTTTCTGTTTGTTAGCTGCTACTTCGGTTGCTCTTTCTGATGATATTTTGTTGTTTTTCTGTCTACAAAATGGATTTGAAATAAAATCGATTTCCCCCAAGTTATTCAAAGCATAAAGTAAAAGTAGAGAAATTTTAAAAAATACCACTTTTCAAGTGCCATTTTACAAAAATGACACATTTTTGAAATCTTTACAAAAATGCCATTTTTTCAAATTTTTTTTTTAATATTATTTATGTTTTGGTTAGTTATGTTCTA